TCTCTAAACCTCCAGAGTAAATTTACTTCAACTGATTCAGTTCTACTTTAGTTTTAGTCGAGATGCAGATTTAACAGTCGGAGGCATATCTTTTGTATTCTGACAAGGATTTTTGTAGCATTTTGCACCTTCTGGAGAAACGTTTTTATTGCTAATAAATTAGGTCTGGTAACAACTAACAACAGTTTTGTTATATATTTCCAGGTGGAAAGTACTTCTAAAGCTCCTTAGGGCTAAACAGGTTTTGTTAGTAGAGGCTCTCTGTCCAACTTGAATGAGCTTGGAGCTTTGTGTGGGTATAGACTGCTTGTCTTTACCCAGACAATGGGTCAAAATGACCATCTCTTGGTGTGTATCGTGAGCAGAAACGTACTCTGCAGCTGAAATTGCTGCGACAACTGAATCTACAAAGTATTGACTCAAAAGGGGGGAAGTATGAATGCCTGGCACACTTTGGAGACTTTTGTCTTTGTAAAAGATTTTTGTGAACCAGGTTTAACTTTCCTCCTTAACACTTGTACACCACAAATCATTAATTTATCAAATCAAATCTCAATAAAATGCAATATTTGTGTTCATAACAGAAAAGTGTAAAGGGACTGAATACTTTTCCAGGTTACTGCTTGTGTAGTTGTGCTTGTGACAGTGTTTCTAGATTTTAGGATAATGAAAATATCTAACGGCGTGATTCGAATTCACAAAAAGGCATGTGCTACATAAGCAACATACTGATCATATCCACCAACAGGGCTTGACTCTGAGTGTGCTTTGGACCATGTTCTTCGGCCTCATGAGTGCATTTGCACCCATTTACGGATGGATCCTGGTCCTGCGCGCGCTGGTGGGCTTCGGTATAGGAGGGGCGCCTCAGTCGTAAGTACCTCATTCACTGCCCTGAAAGCAACAGTGAAACAAATGAGCTGAGTCGGTATTTACACTGACGTTCTTTTAAGGGTGACCCTGTATGCTGAGTTCCTTCCCATGAGATCCAGAGCCACATGTATTTTGCTGATTGAGGTATGACTTGCTCCAGACTGCCACTCTGTAACAAGTGTCCTTTTCCCTTCAACTACTTTTGTATGTTGTATTTTTTTAAAATTTATTTATTTATTTTAGATCTTTTGGGCAATCGGTACAGTTTTCGAGGTCCTTTTGGCGATCCTTGTGATGCCCACTCTGGGCTGGCGCTGGCTGCTCGGCCTTTCCACCATCCCTCTCTTCATTTTCGCCTTTCTGTGCTACGTAGGTACAGCAGTTTGACAGGCTGTTCGTCTTTATGAAATGACATGCTCATTGTCGGCATGTGTGTGTTCACAGTGGCTGCCAGAGAGCGCTCGGTATGATGTGCTGACGGGGAATCAGGAAAAGGCTCTGGCAACTCTGAAACGCATAGCCACAGAGAACGGCGTCCCCATGCCTCTGGGGAAACTCATTGTTGCCAGACAGGTGCAGGACATGAGTGCTCTGAGTAACAATGACTCTTCTCAGCTGTGTAATCCTGTTATTCAGGCATTTATCTATTTTTTTCAATTTTTTTTATCTGTTCTTTCTAATTAGGAAGATCGGGGGAAGATCCGAGATTTATTTTCGGCACACTTCCGATGCACCACGGTTCTGCTCTGGTTCATTTGGTAAATGAAACAAATGATAAAGCAAGCACAATGTCCTCTTCAAGACCTGCTCAAGCTTCAGGATTTTAGTGCTTACTATCTTAATAATTTTTTTAAATTGCAGTGCCTACGCATGGTGGCTTGTAAAAACATTTACACCCCTTAAACTCCTAAATAGTTTGTCACACAACGACCACAAAATTCAATGTATTTCATTGTATTTTTATGTGCTAGATAGACCAACACAAAGTAATGAGTATTTGTGGAAATGAAGACATGTGGTTTTCTACAGTTTTTACAATTAAAAATCTAAAAATAGATGTTTGATGTTGGTGGCTGTCACGTATCAAAACATGGAAAAGGTAAAAGGACATGAATGCTTTTGCCAGGCGCTGAGTCTGAGTTCGTTTTGCATCTCTGTCAGTGCAGGTTTGCTAACGCCTTCTCTTACTACGGACTGGTGCTGCTCACTACAGAGTTGTTTCAGGAAGGAGGCGCATGTGGAAGTGAGTCAGAGAGGTCATCACACAAAAAGAAAGCATTACCAAAACATGCCAAGACATTAGACTGAGAGACACGTTTTTCTGCTTAATGTCTCCCTCTAGTGCCCAAAGGCGGAAAAAAGGAGCTCAGATGCAGCTTGGAGTGTAAATATCTCAATTCTGATGACTATAAAGATCTGCTCTGGACTACTTTGTCTGAATTCCCAGGTAAATAAATCAAATATGTTTTGCTATGTCATTGTTATTAACAAATACGTTTCCTCTGCAGTATCTTGGACACAAAAACATTAAAAAAACGTTTTAAAACGATGCCAACAGTGTAAAGCAGCACATTATTCTCGTGAGAGAATGCTCTTTAGCAAAAGACATCACTTAACTCAGATAACTCGATAAATGTTTATACATTTTTATTTCTTTATTGATTACTTTAGAATCTTGTTAGCTATAATTGCACTTCTGTGCTAAAATTAGGTGCATGTATTTGACATAAGCTTAAGTTTTTACAGGTGTAAGTTAGAATAACATAGAAAAACTAGAAAATTTCTGAAGAAATTTAAACGGGGCGAAAAATTAGCATCAATGTTAAAAAAAAAAAAGCTATAATGTACTCAATAGAGACAGTACATTGATTTTTACTTTTGCAAAAGTAAAAACTGATTGTTTACTTCGTGGCACTTGGTTACCAGAAAACGTGTTCATCTCTCAGCAACAGATTAACAACAAATATTGTTATTGTTCAAAAAACACACAATTTCTTCTGCTCTTTTGAAATACTACTTACCTTCCACTACTTACTACTTAACAAGAACAATGCAGTTGGTGAATTTTTCAGAAAAGTGATTTTCTTTTTTTTGTCATTGTTGGTAAATATTTTATAAAACAAACATTCAACACAAATGTAAAAATCTGAATTATACTTCGTGGCAGTTCGTTACCAGAAAAAAAACACTAACCTCTTAACAACAAATTAATGACAAGTAATATTATTGTTTATAAACATAACCTCTTTGGAAATACTGCTTATCAGCTTAAACAAAAGAAACTTACAGTTGGCAAGTTTTGCAAAAGTAAACATCTGTTGTTTACTTCGTGGCACTTGGCTACCAGTAAACACGCTCATCTCTTAGCAACAGATTAACAACAAATATTATTGTTCAAACAACATAAGATTTCTTCTGCTCTTTTGGAATACTACTTATCTTATACTACTTACTACTTAACAAGAATTGTGCAGTTGGTGAATTTGCAGAAAAGTGAAAATATACGTATTTTTTTTTTCTTTTGTCATTGGTGGTATAAAACATTATAAAACAAATATACTTTTCTGTAGTAAGTGTTCTGCCAAAGTGGCCTCTGTAGTTCTCTACATCTCTGCCCTCCTCAGTGTTCGGTTGATAAGGTAATTCATGTCCTTGTACAGTGTTACATGCACTTAATATGAGGTTGGGGCTGCATTTGCATGAATTGTTGCATGAGTGCAGTGACGTATGGAGGTGGTCAGTCAGTGGTTCTGCTGAGGGATTCAGGAAGACTCTGTGCTTCAACATGGTGGCAACAGCAGAAGATAGAACGAAACTTCAAATAGTTACTGACAACAGAAACTTTCCATTGGACCTCAGGCTACTTGAATTCAATGACTGCACCCTTCCTTTGAGACATTGACTTACAGAGCTCCCTAGTTTTACAGTCATACAGTCTCTTCAACTTTTTTATTCTAATTATTCAAGAAACAGACATTTCAGGTTTTTGATAGATGAAAGTCAAGATAATAAAAATTAATAGAAATTAATTCTCGAAAAATTTCAGGGTGTACGTAATTAGTCTATCAGTATTACTTGATTCTTTTCAATGTTTTTCTAAGGTAAAAAGATGCTCCTGTATGTTTATGTTAGCAGTTTAAGGAGAGGATCTCAGTTCTCTGCTATAATAAGTAATGCTCAGATTATTTATCACACATTTAAAGGGGACAAAAGTCTCTATGTGTTGAAGATTAGTGACTCTGCTGACTTCCTGCAGGACTACTGGTCACACTGTGGGCTATTGATCGATTGGGACGGAGAAAGACCATGGCTTTGTGTTTCCTCGTGTTCTCTCTGTGCATCATCCCTCTGTATGGATGTGTTGGGAGGTAAATACAGCTTTTACGTCTTATGAATTGTTTAATGTTTATCTGCTCCTCTTGACACCCGTTTTTCTTTTGCAGAGTGTCCATGACGGTGTTGATATTCATAGCCAGAGCATTTATTGCTGGAGGCTTTCAGGCGGCCTACGTTTACACTCCAGAGGTAATGCATCCTTGCAGACTCTTGTATGAGCTTACACTGTGAGAAACGGTGAAAGCAGGGTGATGGATGGGCACGAAATGGCCGTTTTCTCTGGGCTTTCTGCAGGTTTATCCAACAGCAACCAGAGCTTTGGGTCTGGGAACAAGCAGTGGGATGGCCAGAGTTGGTGCCCTCATCACTCCTTTTGTTGCACAGGTAACATCTAAATAAATTTAAAAAAAAAAGTGCTGATTATTCAAAATGAACTGGTTGCATGAGTTTATTCATCTTGGTTTTCTCGGACTTTCATCCTGCAGGTGATGCTGGAGTCTTCGGTGTACCTGGCCCTCTCTGTGTACTGCTGCTGCTGCCTGTTCGCTGCCGTCGCCTCCTGCGCTCTGCCCATCGAAACCACAGGTCGGGGTCTGCAAGAGTCCAGCAATCGTGAGTGGGGACAGGAGATGGTGGGCCAAAGATCAGAAGAAATCCCACACTCCAGCTCTGGTTCTCAGGGTTGAGGACATGCTCACTGTGGTACGAACTGGAGGCGATGCCAGATGAGAGGAGAGGAGAAAGCCAAGCCAGCTTTCTGCCCTTCTTGTATGTTTCTCCTAAGATCCAGGCAGCACCATTTTTACATCACATTACTGTCTGTAAAGCCTTTAAACACCATTGGTGTCACAGGGTTGCCACTGTAAAACTACGTACGCACAGGACGAGTTAGAAAGACCGAGCGATGTTCAGGATTACGGGAGATGATGGTGAAAATGGGAAAAGTTTCTGAAAAGGGGAAGATAAATGATGTGAAAGTGTTGAAATTTATCTTCATACAGAAAGAGCCTTAAAACAGCCTATTGAGTAGGTGACAAAAACCACTTTGGAAACCAATGAAAAAGCAGCCTCTGTAGTGCACAAAGCTTACTGAACGTACCATCTCCTAAGTATTCTTTGCAAAAAAACAACAACAAAAAAACACAATCATCTCATCTCATGTACATGGAAATTGCCTGCTGAAATGCACTTTAACTTAAAAAAGTATTGTTGAAGAACAAAAATAACTCCTCAGATGAACTGACCAGATTACGTTTTTTTTTTTTTCACTGAACAGTCCCAGTTATCAAGGTAAATACAGATCCTATGTAGGAGCCCTTGATTTTATTGCAAATATCAGAAATCTTAAGGAATAATTTGCTTCACTTTCATCAGTTTCCGAACATAAACTGCCCATATAAATGACTGAAATCATGATTTTTAAAGTTTAATCGTGACGTGATTGTTTTACTTATGACAAACCTTTAGATTTCCTGAAGCTGTCGGTGGAGGACAGGAAGTTTCTTTAACATAAAACGAAGCATTTCTACAT